GGTTTACTGGTGGATTTGTGATGAGTTCCACAATACATCGTTAAGTGAGAAAAAGCAGAGTGCAGAGAAGTCGTATGATACAATCATATCTTTAAAATTAAATAACACATCATAAATAAATAAATGTATTTGTATGTTTCCTAGATAAGACAAGAAGTTAAAAATACTGAATTTTTAAAAAGATGCTCACCATAAAAATATCATCTTCTCTCTGAGGGAGAAGGACCAGGAGAACACCCTGCTCTGAAAACAACAGCACAGGAAGTGAGGGGCATTTGGGGTCACCCTTCCTTTCTAGTCTACTGCACTCTGTCAAAGGGCTTGTTTGCCTTTGTAAAAGTCTGTTGGAAGGAACCAATCTGACTGGCCCATCCAGGTGAGGGAGGGATGACTTGAGTGTTTTCTGGTTCTTAATTCTTCTAGATCACCATCTCCTAACCCAGCTGCTCATTTCAAACCTCTGTGGAGCTTTAAAAATACCCTAGTGCCTGAGCCCCTCTCATGGTACTAAAGCCTTCCCAGGAATTCACCCCATGTGGAAAACCACAGAGAGGGACATCCAGGGGTCCCCTAGAAAAGTCAGTCTTCTCCTATCTAAATATTTCAGAGAAGCTCCACATACCATGGAAATCCCGTTTTTAACCACTCTGAAACATTATCAAGGCATTTTTAATGGATTTGATCTAACATTATTTCAAGATTTAAATCTCTTCGTGAATCAGGTTAGAGAAAGCCAACTCTACACTTTGGAGAAAAATAAAACCAGGTTGCATTCCTCTGCTTTATTTTTGCTGAATCTCAGTGGAAATTAGTCTGAGTGTTATGTTTTTCATATGAGCTTTACTTTACTCTCCAGATAACTTTTGTTTCTTTACAGGAGTAGACAAATAATTTTCTAAGGGACTACAGACAATCCTGATCTGCTACAAAACAAACGACAACTCATGTCCTGGGATTAAGATATATTTCACCTCATTAAAACATCCCCAGTTAGGAAGCAGAAGGAGTCATTCTCTCAGCTAAAAATACAAGTTGCGACATTGGCACATCCTTGGGTAGCATGTCACTGGGTGGTCGTTGACAGCTGAGCACCGAGGGAGCTCTGGGCATGTCATTCAGCATTACTGGGCAGGATGTGCCCAAGGACAGCCAGGCGGGAAAAGGCAGATGGCAATTTTGGTTTTCTCCTTCTGTAACCTAAGACTTCGGATCTGAGACCGAAGTCTTCCCATTTCTGGAGCCCTATGGGGTGACTCGATTTGATTCCCTCTACAACTGGGACTGGTGGTGGTGGCCACAGCAAGTGGCCGAAAGAACTGGAAGATGAAGGTAATGGAATTGTCCTCTGATGTTTCAACAGAGAAAACAAAATACTTATACCTAGGCAAGAAGTGCAAGTCGTCTTGCTCCAGGATGTCTCAAGACAGGACAAGTGGACCAGGGAGTGCTGGGAAGGAGGCACTTTGAGGGGTAGGTGCACACTCCCCAGCCAGGTACTGTGGAGGATAGGGCTGTGATCAAGGATGGAGGGGAAAGGGCTTGTTGGAGAGGCTGTGCCTGGCTTTGGAGTGAGACAAAGGGGTATCTCAGTTCCAGCTTGGCCATTTCCAGAGCACTGAATAACCCCCATGCTTCAGTTTCCTCATCTGCCAAATGGGTATGGTATCTACCTCATTGGGTTACTATAGCAATTACAGGAAGCACTTAATACAGAGACCAACTCATAGCAAACACTTAATCCATGTTGGCAAATAAAAATAATACAAAAAACCATAACCTCTTAAAATCCTAGACCGTGAGTTTGACTCACAGAAGTCCTGCTGAGTGAAGGCTTCACTCAACTGTGCTGATAAGAATCAGGTGCTGAATCCACAGAACACTGTACTTGAACCACACTCCCCCCCCACCAAGTTAAGGGCCCACTCCATTCTCCCTCCGTGCTACTCACACCTACCTGGCTGAGTCCCTTCCCAGCCTGAATTTCCCACACACAAGAGCATTACCACATCTTTGAATAATCTCCAGATTTCTAGTTTTGAAAGACAGCCCGATGCACTAATACATTTTAAAGATATCCCAACTTAGTTTTTCTACTTCCAAGAAAGCCTTTCTAAAACGAAGCAGTAAAAAAAAAAAGCCAAGTACCCTAGACAACTATGAAAGGAATGCCTTTGTTAGGATTATGAATATATTTCCAAATATTTGAACATAGGTTCTGTTGAGGCTAAAAGTGTTGCAGCAGGGAAGTATATCAGCCCCTTTGGTGATCAGTTAATACTTTTATGATAAGATAGAACCATTTATAGACTAAAGGAAACTCTTGTATCTTATCAAAATTGTTGTTGTACAATTAGTTTTGACAGAGTTTAGACTTCTTTTGTACAACGCAAGGGTTTGAAATTCAAACCATCAATACACAACATTTTGTTTAAACTAAAATGTCTTGGATAAAAGCATTAAAAATTATACATTAAGTCATTTACCAACTGGTGTAGAAGGTTTTCTGTTTGTTTTTCCTCCACCTGATTGACAAACACCTTATTCCCACCTTCTGGTTTCTAATTATGGTACCCTAACTTGGACACTTGGCCAGGGGTCTCGGGGGCAGCGACACCCTATCAAGAAGCTTGTCTTTTATCACCACCTAATGGTCATTCTCTATTATTACAGTGCACTAGGGCCACTCGACACCTACCTGCCCTGTTTGCACAGGTTTAACAAATTAAACATTTGTTAATATTCCCCACGAAACTTTTCAGGCGATACATTTCATTCTTTTCCTAGACCTTTCCTAGTTCGTAATGACAACCATAAACCATCCTTAATTCATATTATGGATCCCAAACGAAGATTTCAATCCAAAGAAACAAAACAAAATCCAGGAGAGAAAAGGGCAGGGGGAACATTTAGTGTCTAGTGGCTAGGGAAAAAAGCCCTCAAATTTTTGTGTGGTGGCCTTTCTAGTTTAAAAAAATGTAATAGATACTTCAAATATTCAGGCCTCTTTTACATGAATATATCAAACTCTGAACTTTCATTGTCTTCAAGTCATTGTAGAATTACTCCATTTCTCTGCTCTTTTTTTTCCAAAATGATTTTGCTTGTTCACTTAGGGCTTGTGGGGGGTTATTCCTTTTTATTTACTCGTAATGCTGCTTAGTTTCTAGAAGCTCCTATATTTAAAAGTGTGTAGATTTTATACTCTATTTTGATACTACACAGTTTGTATTTGAAAATTTCCTCACTGTGCCACTGGATCTACTAACTAATGAAAGTTGGAGTGATTAGTGAAGCTGAAACCTGGAGGGAACAGATACTATTTATATAGTATTGTTGACCAAAGTGATTTTTGCATTTCAATTATACTTTTTTATTATTTGAGTGGGATCTCACTGTCACAGATGCTGGTGTGCAGTGTCATGATCACAGCTCAATGCAGTCTTGACTTCCTGAGCTCAGGTGATCCTCCCATCTCAGCTTCCTGAGTAGCTGGGACTATAGGTGTATGCCACCATGACCAGTCAATATTTTCTTTTCTTTTTTGTTTTTTGTTTGTTTGTTTTGTAGAGACATGGTCTCACCAAATTGCCCAGGCAGGTCTCAAACTCCTGGGCTCAAGCAATCCTCCCACCTTGACCTTCCAAAGTGATGGATTATAGGCGCGAGTCACCACGACTAGCCCAGTAATACTTTAAAGAAAAGTAAATGGGAGCAAATAAAAAATGCTCCCTGAAATGCTGATTTTATGATTACAGGAAAATAGACAATGTAAGAAAAAAATAATTTAATCTAGGTGGTCTAGTTTGTTATATTTGCTTATTATTGGCACAAATACGTATTTTCATTTTTAAAAAATATGAGAAATAGGAGAGAAATTGGCACCTAGCTAAATCTATCCCCATTCTATTCTACCACAAAAGAGCTAAAAGTCAGCCTGAAGCAAAAATAAGAAGTTTAATGCCTATCTGTGTGTAGCGTTGTTATAAAAATTAAGCAGGCTTTTTAGATAAGACATCATTGAATGCAATAAATTAAAAAGCAGAAGTAAATTTTGATTACATAAATTTCCATTATACGGTAGTCTTTTATACTATTTTTAGCAAAGGAAGAAATGTTTTTAAAGTAGATTACTTCAGCGATTTGGAACAAAATAACCTAATTCTATTCAAAATGCCTCTCTTTGTTACTAGGGTAACAAGAAAAGAGCTGTTTTTCAGAGTTCATGAGAGCCACACGACTTCTGCAACCATAGGACATATTCCCAAATGACACAAACAGGCTTGGCTGCAAAATCAATAGGCAGACTCAGGAGGGGAAAAGTTTATGGATACTCCAAGTTGAATTGCCATAATTATCATGAAATAAGAAAACAGCACAGCAAGGAGACGAGTTTTTCTAATAATACAGAAGCAACATTTGCTGCAAGAAAAACACAAGGAGCACATGTGCAAAGAGGAGGGACATCAACAAAATCTTACAAAAAAATATTTATGGTAAACTGAGGCAGGACAGGTGAGCAGATAAATGCTATCAAACCTACCTGATTTACAAGTCATTGGGGGACCATTGGTGAATACTCACTACTGGCCAACAGGAGAAAAAAATTACAGGACCCAGCTGCTCAACCATGGTGACAAGTCAACCAACGGCAGGAGAAACAGAATCAGCCACTCCCTTCAGCTCAGAAACGTGTCAAGAGCCCTAGATTGCAAATATTTTTGTCCTTACCATCATCCCTACACGACTGGATGCTAGAGTTACAGTCAGATAAGGCTTCAAAGACGATGTGTACAGCCCTGCATATAACTCATAATATGATGTAACAAGACAATCAGTGCAATTTGAAAACATGGACCAAATAATCACTGCAATGAAAAACACCCATCCCGATACAGACAGAAAAGGGTGGCTGAGGATTCAGACTTGGCCACAGACAGATTGAGCCCAGGCATGGACAAGCAGAGGCTATAAATAATGAAATAATGTTCCTTGGGACAAGATATTTTTCTATTAATCTTTATTTATATGATGGTTCTCTCGAAAGCACTTCATTTTCAAAGCTAATTCTGAGACAAGTAGCATAAGGCACATATGAAGAAATACTTTTGCTGTATCAAGAGTTCTACACCTTGAAATCAACTTTTTTGGAGTATTAATAAGAAGGTCTAGTCATACAGAGCAAAAAAGAAAAAAAATAGCAAAGGCCAAGAATATCAGGCACATGAAGGTATGCATATACTATCTTTACATTTAATTTCATATTGATATGATGAAGGAGCTATATCCATGTACATCTAACCACGTCAGATAACACAAGTCCTCGGTGAACCTCCGGATGTACTAAGAGAGGTGTACTAGCTTCAGGCCAAAGTATTTCGTTGAGTTTGGTTTGTGGGAGACATTTGAAATGTTGCTTCGTGGCTTGGGTTTTCTAAAAGAAAGGGCAAATATTAGGGGAAAACTGTTAAAGATAGATAGAGAGAATTAACAATCTTCATTATTTAACACACAATAAAGGAAAGTATTGTATTTTATTCTGTAAACCAAGGCTGGGCACCGTGGCTCACACCTGTGATCCCAGCACTTTGGGAGGCTGAGGCAGGAGAATCTCTTGAGTCCAGGAATCTGAGACCACCATGGGCAACATAATGAAACCTCGTCTCTACAAAAAATTATTTTAAAAAATTATCTTGGTGTGGTGGCATGCACCTATAATTCTAGTTATTCAGGAGGCTGATGCAGGAGGAGTGCCTGAGTCCGGAAGTTGGAGGCTGAGGTGAGCTGTAATCGTGCCACTGGACCCCAGCCTGGGCAACAAAGTGAGCCCTTGACTCAAAAATATATATCTATTTTATAGTTGCATTTATTGCCATGGTCTGCCTAAAATCATTTTTTTCAAATAAAATGCCTGGACAATTGTGAGCTATAAGATGGGTTTGTCTTTAAAAGTCAAATGGATTGCAGAAATGTCTGACTGCATCACCATGTTGCATTCTAAAGACGGTTACTGCTTCTATACTGCTGGTGGGAATGCAAACTAGTGCAACCTCTTTGGAAACCAGTGTGGCGATTTCTGAAAGAACTAGAAATTGACCTTCCATATGACCCAGCAATTCCCCTATTGGGAATATACCCGGAGGAACTCAAATCATTCTACAAAAAAGATACCTGCACACGTATGTTTGTTGCAGCTCTATTCACAATAGCAAAAACATGAAACCAACCATGTTGCCCATCGAAGCTGAACTGGATAAGGAAAATGTAGTACATATACACAATGGAATATTATGCAGCCATAAAGAAGGACAAATATGTGGACTTCACAGCAACTTGGATGGATTTGGAGTCGATCATACTCAATGATTTATCACAGAAACAAAGAACAGAGTCCCATATGTTCTCACTCATAAACGGACCTTGAGCAATTATAATGCTATAAGAAAGCGATTGGCGGTAGTGGGGAGGGGGTGTGGGATTGACAGTTGAGGGAAACTGCCAGGGGAGGGAGGGGCATACCTAATCCAACAAGGGTACCTGCATAACCAATGTTTGTATACCTAACCCTGAATTGTACTCCACATCTTTATAAAATAATAATAATAATAAAATAAAAATTAAAAATATAATAATAATTTTTTAAAGGTTACTGAATCTTTCTGGGGGTCATGGGTGGGATTTAGGGTGCTGCCTGGTTCACTCCTTCACTGTCAGGCATTTTGACTCATAACAGACTCTTATGGACTGGATTCCAAGCTGGAACCCATCAGAGACACAGACAGAATAGCCTAGCCACGGTTGTATTTTACATTTTTTTGTTTTTTTCAGAATCGCCTATATAAAGAGCCATCTGTCTACATTGAGAATTCTCTCTCAGCTGTGCCATTCCACACTCAATATTTTTTTTATAATTATCACATTAAAATTGCATGATGCTTAAAGAACTTCCCAAGCAGAAAGAACAGACACGGATTTAAACAGTACTTCTGAGGCATTTACTGTGGTTCTTGTATTTTGTTTTGTCTCTGGTATGCAGATAAATATCAGCAGATTTCTATGTCCTTCCACTCTTCAGGTAGAATTTCTTGAAGTAAACTTGCCAGTTTTCCTTTTTACAAAAATGAGTTCCCAGCCATTCCTTAGAAATGGCATTGTAACCAAAGTGACAAGCAGTAGGCCTTAAAGTAAAGGTTTGTGTGTTCAAAGCATGAAAGTAACCTCCTGGGAAGACCTCAAGTCACGGGCAAGACTTGCTTTGTAACTGAGGCAAATGAATGATAAAACCTTTATGGTCCAATAAGAAACTGTGATGGCCAGATGCCCTAAAAATATATTAAGCAGTTTTTATATTAGCTTTTTTTTAGTCAGGGTCTCACTCTGTCACCCAGGCTGGAGCGCAGTGGCATGATCATGGTTCACCACTTGGGTGATACTCCTGCCTCAGCCTCCGGAGTAGCTGGGACTATAGGCACACACCACCATGTCCAGCGAATTTTTTATATTGTAGAGTTGGGGTCTTGCTCTGTTGCCCAGGCTGGTCTTGAACCCCTAGGCCCAAGTGATCCTCCCACTTTGGCCTCCCAAAGTGCTGGGATTACAGGCATGAGCCACCACACCTGTACATTAGCTTTTTATTTGTAAGCATGAGTATATTAAGAAGGGAGGTCCCTACTCTTCACATTATTCTTTGATGCATAGAGCATTGTTATTTGTTAGCCAATATGCACAGAGCACTGGGGATTTCTTCTTCCTTCTCCAAATGAACTCTTCTATCCACCTTCTCTGGAAGGATGCCAAGTTTTATCATGCACCTTAACCAAAGGCTGGATGTGTGCTTGTGAGTGTGTGTTCCTTCATTATCATTGTCCTTCCCAGCTACCCTAAGAGCAATAGCCCAAAAATCTGTCTCACCTGTTTCAGCACACAGTAAGAAGACTAATATATATATATACACATATATATGTGTGTGTGTGTGTGTGTGTGTGTATACATATATGTTACTCAATTAATAATAATATTAATTATTATTCAATTATTTTTGTTTTAAAGACGTGGGGTAAAACTCAGAGTTAGGTACATAAGTGGTCATCATGCAGGAAAAGTTTGGGTACCCTTATTGATGTCATGTGCCCCCCCCAGCAGTGTCCCACTACTGTCAATCCTTTTCTTATAGTATCATGATAAATGTTCAGGGTCCACTTATGAGTGAGTACGTGTAGTACTCACATTTTTGTGTCTGTGATAGATCACTGAGTATTATAGACTCTAAATCCATCCAGGTTGCTGCGAATTCCATCATTTTATTTTTCTTTATGACTGCGTAATATTCCATTGTGTATATGTACCACATTGTCTTTATCCAGTCTATTTTCGATGGACAGTACGGTTGATTCCATGTTTTGCTATTGTGAATAATGCTGCAGTAAATATGCGTGTGCAGGTATCTTTTTCATAGAGTGATTTGTGTTCCTCTGGGTATATTTTTAATTTAAATTGTTTTTAAAACACTTATGACACCACAGCAAAACTGTAAGCATCACTTCCCTAGAGAATAGGCTGCAGCCTCAAGTTCAGTTGCAAGGTCAATCATATTAATAATAATACAACAAATACATAGGCATTTGCCAAATGTCTGATAAGACCAGATACTTTTATAATACTTAATGATCCCTAAGAGTTTTCATACCTATTGTCTTATCTATATGTCTCACAATATTTAAGCATGCTCTCATGGCCTCAATATACATTATCCTTAGGTTTTAGCATCTTATTAATACTTCATAAGTATAATCAATATGTGGCACATCAAACTGTTAAGAATTATGTAATTATTTTTCATGGCCAACAGAAGTTTAAAGACACAAGGCAACAAAAGCTTACTTGTCAAAGATACTTAAAGTGACCTCACCATATTCCACAGTGTTTCTACAGGAGTGTTCTGGTTAATATTTAATAGATTAAAATGTAATATCAAGCACTTATGACTGAATCTCTGGAAGCAATAATTTTCTGTCATGAATCAATAGCCAGCTTTGCGATTATTTTAAGGTTACCATTTATTGCCATTGTTCTGAACTCAATTTTGTCATTCCCCTGTAGATGTGCAAGGGGTCTAGGTAACAGAACACTAGTGAAAGACACTTCTTGTGCCTTCTCTTAAATGGAGGGTATGTAGAGGAAAAGGAGGAAATAAGTACAAAACAAAACTCTTCCTTGCTTCAATGTACACCTCTTCCTTGAAATCCTATCAACCATAGTCTTCCATGCCCGAGTGCCCAAGAAAAAATCCACCAAAGAGCACCAAGCCCTGCAGCTTTAAAGGGGGCTGGACCGCCTGCAAGTGGGCACACTGGGGCCTGGGAAGGGAGACAGGTGGCTCTGAGTTGGAATTCACTATCTCCATTTTACCAAGTAAAATGAGATACGGAGAGCATACTGTAATAAATAGGTTTTTCATCCAGAATTCTGTGTCTACCTGGAAAGGCTGAAGAAATGAAGCATGAAAAGGCCTAAGAATCTTCTCCTTCTTCAGCTTCCTCTTCTTCTTCAGCTTCCTCTTCGCCTTCTGCTCCTTCCTGGGCTACTTCTTCTGTCTTAGTTTAGCAAAATTTACATTATTTTTAAGAAACATAAAGGTCAAAGATATAGTGAGAAAAAGAATGTAACAACTCAGACTAGAGGTAAGGACCTCTCACATCTCCACACACACAACACACAACACATACACCCACACATACCACATATACAACATAAAACACACACCACACACATATACACACATGCCACATACACCACACACACATCATATACATCCACACACACCACACAACCACACACATATACACACATTTGCCACACATCCATACACACACACCACACATACACCATGCCACACACATTATACACACATATACCACATGACACACACACACACACATCACACACACACATCTGCCACACACACATATACACACATCACACATACACCACATGACCCGCACATGCACACATCACAGACATCACATACGCACATACACCACAAACATACAGCATATACACACACACAACCACACACATACACACACATACACACACCCCACATACACCACATACACCCACACATACACACATGCATACACATATCACACACACACATATACCACACCACACACACGTACACAATACTGCAGGATGGTACATTTAATTCTAATGGATTCCATAATTTCCCTTAAGCATATAGTCTCTGCTTGTATTTACAAACTATTCTCATCAAATAACCTTTATGAATCCATAATGTATGTAGTTAGAAGACTCAAATACCAAAAGAACCTCTCAAAAAGAATTATGTCAGAAAGTACAAGCTTTTAAATATATGTGCTGGTTATATGTTCTTATCAAAAGCAAATGTCTTCAAGCCAAAGTTATCAGCAGTCT